TCTCTCTCTCTCTCTCTCTCTCTCTCTCTCTCTCTCTCTCTCTCCCTCTCTCTCTTTCTCTCTTTCTCTCTCGCCCTTTCTATCTATTTGTGGGGCAACGGGGTGAAATCGGGCGCTCGTCAAAAGAATGAAATCTGAGAAACTGGCATTTCGGGCAGTTTGGAATTTTTTAACGAATTTTGGTTCTTTGGTTCAACACCTTGTAGGTCCATTCAAACGCGCTTTAATGTATTGATTTATGGAAAAACGTTGGTTAAAGGCACAAAAAATCTAAATTTGCAGTTTCCAAGAACTCTTAAGCTATGGAAGTCACTGAACACTGAACTTGGGTGGCCATTTTCACGCTAATCTTACTTGTGAAACCAGGCGACCCCCCCCCTTCCTTCAATTGCAAATATCTCGACTTCAATTTAAGATGAATGGATATTTTTTAAAATCAAAAGCAAGGTAAATGAACCACCATTATGATGATACGAATAACTCCATACGCCCATAAACTGACAAGTGCCTGTTTCCACTGCGTCTTTCATACACTTTTCTCTCTCTATCTCTCTCTCTCTCTCTCTCTCTCTCTCTCTCTCTTTCTCTCTCTCTCTCTCTCTCTCTCTCTCTCTCTCTCTCTTATTCTCTCTTTTTCTTGATCGATGTCTATCGCTCGCTATCTCTATCCCTATCCCTCTATACCCTCCCCCCTCTCTCTCCTGCCCGCTATCCTTCTCTATAATATTGACTACACCTGGGAAGAGAGACTGTGACGTCATCGCGTGATTATTTCATAGCGATTTACAATACCTAGAGCTCTGTGGTAACACCACAAAGTTTACTTTTCTTTTCGCATATTTTTTCGGTTAATTCCAAACGAGAGATTTCTACACACAAAAAGCTGCAGCCAGTATATGAGAGTCTCTCCTATTCATCATTCCGGCTTAATATGTAATCTGCGAAAAACGCAAAAAAACCCAACAACCTGAGTATCGATACCATAAGCAATGCAATCAAGACGATGTATTCGGTTTGCACAATTGCTGTTCCTCGGTCGTCTGAGTTTATAGCATACCCTTCGACTTGCCCATTCTCTCCCTCCCTACACTCCCCGATTCTCTCTCAAACCATCTATTTTCCTCTCGTCCCCCTTCTCTACCTCCTCTATTCTCTCTCTATTCCTCCTATTCTCCTTCTCTCCTTTCTTTGTTCTCCCTCTCTGTCTTTCTCCATCCCTCACGCCCCAATATCTGCCTCTTTTACTAATCCTCCCGCACTCACAATGCCGTTCTCCCCCATGCTAACCCTCCCTCCCTCCCTCCCTGCCACTCCACTGTTTTCAATACTAGCGCCACCTCCACAACACCCCACCATCACTTAGTCTAGTATCTACCTCCCCCGCCGAGACGCGCGGAGTCATCTGTAGGCGCGTGTATATTCCCAAGACCTCCTTCTCGTTCACGACAAATTACTCCTCCGACATTGCAGTATAACACGAAAAGCATTAAAACAACAGCCAGTTAAGCCTCAAAACCCGATAGACAGACTTGTGTGGCATATAACAATAGAGTGATTTTTTATTCATCAGCACTGCAATAGATTACAACAGCGATCCCCGATTTCCTCTCCCAGAATTTGCATTAGTTGTTGTGCTTTCTCTCTCGGTTCTCGGCGGTTTGCCAGTTTGGCTATCAGTTATTTAAACCGGACTCCGCGCGGCGAACTCTTCATAGCAAGGGGGACTACTCGAAGACCAAGGGAGGCGACCGCGAGATCAACACAGGAGGTGTTAGAACTAGTAACTAGGCCTACTGCTACAACTGTCGGTACGGGACTTCGTTCGCAAGAGAGAGGCACAGAGAATTATCCTAGGGAAATCTTAGAAGACATTTCCTTCACGTGCCGGGACTTTGACGAAATACGTAAGTTTTTACCTTTTGAATTCTAAGTTGTTGTTTTTTAAAAAGTGAAGTTTCTTATCTTTTCTGTTTTCCTTACAAAGCAAAACTTTAAATAGATCTGTGTGTCAAAATGTCATCATTGTGTTTAATCCTCGTCTGCAAAAAATGTTAATTTTGATTTGATTTCTATTTGTAAATTTTATATTTGCTGCTGTTGTTTATTTTTCTACTTCTTCTTTTCTTTCGTCGCCGCCAATGTCATCAGTATGATAAACATGATGAATAATAATAATCACAATAATGATATAATAAAACAACAACAA